TTTCTTAGCCAGTTAAAAAAAAAAAAAAAAAAAAGCAAGGAAAAAAGAAAAAGCCCATTTTCTCACCCCCCCTTCTCTCCCTCTGGTGCGCGCTCACGAACACGCGTTCACGTTTGGCAGCTCCACGTCGACATTCTTCCAGCTGCATATAGAGTGAGCTGCTCAGCTCTGAGGGAGAAAGAAGAGGTAAAAGCGGCGGTGGTCACCTTAGGATTTTAGAGCCGCTGCAAGTCCGCAGATGGACATCAGCCGCAGTCAAATCTGCGGAGGTTTGCATTGCAATCTGTTGCTCAGGCCTGCAGTTTCCTCAACTCGTTTTCTTTCTTTTTTTCTTTTTTTTTAATCTGCTCTGAAGCACCTCGTGTTGTACTGCAGCTGTTCCCCTTGTGTCTACCTACATCAGGTACAGTATGACTTGCAGAACTTTTTTTATATACTGTAAAGAGAATCAAAGTGGGAGTTTAGACCTGATAAGGTTTGTTTACTGTTTTGCATTGCTGAAGTTGCAGCAATTTGATTGCTGATAAAAGTCTTCCAACTATCTCCCAGCTGATAGCTGCTCTTTTTTTTCCCCCTCACTGCCATATCTATCAGGGGCCTATTTAAGGCAGAAAGTCTGTAAAAGATCAACAGGTTGAACTGAGGAGTTTTTTTAAATTATTATCCTAATGATGATTTCACCCAACTGTAAAGCTTTAATCAAAGCAGGGATGGGTTAGCTTTGCAGCCATCCAGATGTTCAGGCTTGAAGTGGTAAGTAAACACATTTTTAGGATCAATTAGAGGAACTGTTAACTTCAGAATCAAATTTATAATTAAATAAAAATAATTCAACTTGGCCTGGTTTGCCACAACACAGCACAGGCCCAGTTCATCTAAACTCTGTAGTCTTTTACAGTTTATTTATAATATCAAACACTGTTGATCTAGTTAACATGACTGTCCTGTTTCTCCTCCTACTTTTTTTTTTCCTTTTGCCATATTCCAGGTCGAAGGAGCACCCAGTCGCCTGGAGGATAAGGTTCCACACAAGGACAAACCTGTGAGGTGGCACTGTGGCTTTCCAAATAAAGTTCTGTGATACACTCCGACTCTACTCGCATGCAGTCAGTGCATTACAGAACTTTGTTTTGGGAGTTAATGCTTTAACTCGTGCTAAATAAATCATCAAACATCTGGAGAGTTCAGTTCCCAGCGTGAAGCAGTATTTTTTTTAATATGAGTTTTCCTAAATAAAGTTTTTTTTCTTTACTTTTTTTTCTTGTCTCTTCTTTTCTGTAAAATAAATGTGGGAATGTGTTAGGGTTAACTTTTTTAGTTTTATCATTTAGTCACTGTAAATGTGTGTTAAAATGCTACTGGAGCTGGGCTTTGTGCCATATGGAAACACTGGTCATGCTGATCAGGTGACCGAGAGGAGCTGAGGGAGAAAAGTAAACACTATGGTCACACTGTATAAAAACTTACATGTGTATTATTTTACAATGTAAAGCATTAAACATGTCAGATAAATTTATTTTTAATGTTTTTTTATTATTTCTATTGCATTAAACTCAAAACTCCAGGTTAATTTCCATTAAATGTGCTCATTTATTATTTTTTACTTCTCAGACTTGACCATTTTGATTAATTCCGAAAAAGGTTACCCATATTTAACATTTCCAAACAGAATTATAACTCCAGTATTTACATTTGCAACCAGGCCTGTGCTGCAAGGCATGCTGGGAAACGTTTTTGAAAGGTGCATTCAGGTGCATGTCGTTAAGCTCGGCAACGCTCCAGTGAAGAAAACCCCACAAAAATCCAAATGACGTTATAAAACACAGAATCGTCGATGCAGAATAGTTCTTATGCAAATCAATGGTCTCGCTTTGCTCTTCTTCAGATGTGTTTAATTTATGAAAGAAGTTTATGTGGAACGTTTGAGGTCATTGGAAAAATTAAAACTATTTTTCCTCTATGTCGGTCTAAAATTTAAGTGATATAAATTAGTTATCTATCTATCTATCTATCTATCTATCTATCTATCTATCTATCTATCTATCTATCTATCTATCTATCTATCTATCTAT